GAAAGAGGATTGCACCATAGTCAGACCTTGTCGAGGGAGGGTTCTTATCTGCCATGCAGCTCCCTCCTTCCCACACTCCACCTCCACTTCACTATATACATATACACTCTCTATCATGAATTAAATAAATAAAAACTTAAAGTAGTCTGGTCACATTAGTCCACTGTTTTAAGACCTCTACTACAATCCTGTTAACATTGGGTCATTGAAAAAGTTAGGACACATTTTTGCATGGAAACACATAGAAAAATACGTCATGACTTTTCTGGTGACCCAGTAATACAGCAGTGTTTTTCCAGTTTTGTTCAGCAGAACCCTATTCTATAAGATGTTAATAGATGTTCTACAAAAAGAGGTACTAGAAACAAATGTTTAGAAAATACTGTTTTCTTGACTCTAGACTTGTCAGCCTTGTATATGCAATGGATTTTATTCTGTGTCCCCAACAAGGAGATGTAGTAAATAGCATTCTACAGTACAAACTCATTGAGTCATGAAATATTTTTTATTGCTGTTGCTAAGTAGCTAGAGAGATTAATGGTACACAGTTAAGTTTCCACTGTAAAAAGTTCCCTGTCTGACCCTTATCTGTTGATTGGAATGCTGCCAAATGAATAAATACATTGTTAACTTTTAGATTGCATTTAAGGTCTTTCATAATTTCCCACTTTAAATTAGATATCTCCTACTGTTTCCTTAACCACTTATTCTATAAGTCCTGAATTTGTCTAATATACTAGGGTTGTCTATATCCATCTTCTGCACTGACCATGGTGAGCTTTTTCTCTGTATCCACAGTCCCAAACACTGTCTAGCACATTGTCCAGTAACAGCTCACTGAATGATAAATAGGTCTGTTTCTGAAATAGGATTTTCTCAGGTAGCCATTTTTCTGACTCTGTTATTATTGACATACTTACAGATCCTTGGTTTCTTTAACTTTCAGATTTGGATAAAGAATAAAGTTATACATTACAGCTGAAACAGACCATTGAGCTTATCCAGGGTAGTGGTTTTCAGACTGTGTGTCAGAGTCTTCAGTGTTTCACAGATCCTCTTCCCATTAGTTCTGTAGAGGAGGTTGTTAGAGGGAATGAGGAAGGAAAAGTGGCATATGAAGCACCTGTTCTCTTAGCTGTTTTAAATATGGGGTTCCTAAATTCCCTTTGAAAAAGAGTTCCATGGCTACAGTTTGGGAGCTATTGGTCTAGCATCCAGTCCCCTTAATTATGAATAATTGATAACAGGCCCAAATACTGGCTTTCCCAACGTCAAAGAGTGCTTCCTAATAGCCAGAACTAAGACTCAGAGTTCTTACTCTCACAGTAGTACTCTGCAAAATTCTAAAAAGTGAAAAAATTTATTACAAGATTATGGACTAAAATTCTATTGTGTGCTACACAAAAATCTATACATGAATAATCTGTAGTAGCATTATTCATAATAGCCCCAAACCAGATGTCTTTCAATGGGTAAATAAATAAACTATGGCAAACCCATACAAGAGCCTATACACATGACAAAATGGGTAGCACTAAACACACACACACACACCACAAGTAAACTGGGGCCATCTGCATGAGTTCAGTGACTTGTCTCAATGTCAATATTCTCATGGTGATAACATACTTCAGTTCTGTGAGACATTGGCACTCTGGGAAACGAGGTAAAAGCACAGGAGATTTTTATATTATTTCTTAAAACTCAGTGTAAATCTACAAGTATTTCAAAAGCAAAGGTTTAATTTCTTTAATTTTAAAAGTAGAAATATAGAGGCCAGCAGGCAGTGTGGTGGTTAAGGCACTGGCCTCCCACATGGGCTACCGCAGTTCGAGTCCCAGACCCATCTTGCTTTCTCACTTCCCCTTTCCCCTCAATCTCTCTCTGGTGAGCACATGTACCCTACATCAAATTTTTAAAATAATAGTTATAAATAAAATTAATTAATTCTTTTTTAAAAGTAAAAATACAGATGCCTCCAAAAAAATAAAATGTTATTACATTGATTTATTATTTAGAGCCAAACTTGGGATGCCACAGTTTTTGAGTCCTGAAGCCCAGAGCCTTTTGCGAATGCTTTTCAAGCGAAATCCCGCCAACAGATTAGGTAAAAAATCTTAATGAATTTGTGTCTTTTGTCTATTTGTTGATGTTTTGGTTTCTTTGAGGAGTGTGGGATATTTGTTTTCATGGTGGGATTCTTGAATATTCAGACAAGTATTAACAGTAAAGATTGGGACCAGCAGGTGGTGTGGTTGTTAAGGGCACTGGACTCCCACATGGCCGACCGCAGTTTGAGTCTTGGACCTGGCGGCTTGCTTTTCTCAGTTTCCCTCTCTCTCTCACTCTGTTCCTCTCTGGTCAAATTAAATAAATAAAGTTAAATTTTAAAAAATTCTTTAAAAAATAAAAGATTGACAATATTTAGTAGTTATTTAAATAAAATTACCATTCCAATCAATTTTTGATAGGTGCAGGACCAGATGGAGTTGAAGAAATTAAAAGACATTCATTTTTCTCAACAATAGACTGGAATGTAAGTATAGAATGAAAAGATGCTTGAAGCATTTTTTATAGTTAACACATGTCTAAGTCTCTTTTTTCTCTTCCAGAAACTGTACAGAAGAGAAATTCATCCACCTTTTAAACCTGCAACTGGTAGACCTGAAGATACATTTTATTTTGATCCTGAGTTTACCGCAAAAACTCCCAAAGGTAGAGAAAATGTGAAAAACCCAAACATAAGACAGTAAATACATATTTATGTTTTTAGTTTGATCAGAAAATCTTTTCCAGGGAGACTAGCAGTTGGCGTAATGGCATTGTCACTGGACTCCCATGTGGTCGACCGCGGTTCGAGTCCCAGACCCGGTGGCTTAAACTCACACTGGGTGCATGTGCGTGCGTGCCTAAGATCCCGAGAGGAGAGTGGAGGAGAAGGGATTGCGGCATGGCCATTCCCCCTGGGGGGTGATTTCTCGCTTTCTGTCTCTCTGTCTTTCTGGTGAATGCACACACCCTATAGCAAAAGCCTCTCCATTAAAAAAAAAGAAAGAAAGAAAAGAAAATCTTTTCTAGGAAACTCTTCATACTATCCTTAAATGTTCCAATTTTGCTATAAATCAGCCTAACTGGGAGTCATATTATAGTTAGGTTACATAGTTAGGTTATATCTGAGTATAAGGGCTGGATGATCCAGTAGGGTAACCAGTAGCCACATATGGCTAAATTTAAATGAATTAAAATGATAGTTTCTAAGTTACACTAGGCACATTTCAGATGCTCAGTAGCTGTACATGGCTTAATAGCTATTGTATTGGACAGCAGAGACAAAATTTCCATCATTCCAACAAGTTTTGTGAGGTAGCACTGATTTTGAATATCATTAATCAAGTAATTCATCAATTCATTTTGTTCTTCAGATGAATTAGATGTTGTCTAGACTCTACAGAACTAGGATGTTACAGTTGTGACTAGCAGTAAGTGATCAGGACAGATCTGATACAGTGCCTCACATAAAGAGGCATATTCTAGGTGCCTGGGAAATATAATTCAGAATAAATGAGAAAGGTCATGATATCAACAATTCTTCCCTTAATTACCCTTCAAAAGAATTATCTTGGTAACATATTAGA